GTGGTAAACAAAATAATAATTTGATCTAAGTAAGAGTTTTTTTTATTCCCGACTTTTAAAAAATCCTTATGTGATAAAAAAAAAAAGAATAATGTATTTGGGAGAGCAGTCCAAAAGTATATTGGTAAGTACTAATAATGCAACAAATGGTAGAAGGAAACACCACAGACAAATTACAATGAGCATATTGTGAATATCAATGATGAACTTGTGCATGATAAAAATGGCGAATTAGATTTTATTGATAATGACATTTTGGTCTTAGTTGAAGATATAGATGATGGAGATGATGGTGACAAAGAAACTGACTACATCAAGAAAGAATGCAAACATATATATATATATATACAATATTGGAGATATTTTTGGAAGAAATGCTTTTTTGATGAGAAATTTACCATGTTCAAAATCATGTGGAAGTGCATCCTTCACTTTTATTGATAAAGCAAATCATATAATTACATTTGGCATTTCAGAATTAAAGAAAATATGCTCTGTTGTCTTACCCAATGATGCAGACCCATTATTATTTAATATAGGAAAACAACTTGTAAAAGAAAGAGAAACCAAAAAAATCATCTGTACTTAATGTTTTGCTCTAAAGAAAAAACTGTGAAATCCTTACCATTAGTATTTTCATTTAGTATAATTTCTGCAACCAAATTCCAAGATCGATTTCTGGTGATCCTACTTCTACTACAAAATGAGCACATTTGACCAATATCTCCAACTAGTAATAAAAGATAAATGTGAAGACAACATAAGACTGAAGAGGATGCATGATTGTGTCATAACTAGTTTCTTTGATATCACACTTCTGACAGTTTGTTCTTTTTACTGTGGTTTCTTCACTTAGCTCCAACTAATTCAGTTGCTCAGTTCGCTACATATAAATCTTGTCTCATCTTTTTAAAATTTGCTTTTGTTGAAATTTGGATCACAATCTAAATAATCAATAATTACTTACAACCTGATGCTCCCCAATCTCCACCCTATCAATCTCTTCCTCATTAGAAGTTAACAGTAACTCTAAAACAGCATGGTTCCCAGTAGGTTCCTTAACTAGTTGTTGAAGAAAACCATCCTGAACAGTTTCTAAAACTTATGACCATCATGATTTGAGACTTAACATTTACCAGTCTATATAATTGAAATTAAAATCACCCATAATTATAACCTTATTAACAGTTGAATTCTTTATCTCATTAACTTCATCAGTTCATTTGGTGGTCTGTAACAAATTCCAACTAAAAGCCTTCTCCCCTTATAACTACTAACATGAACTCTGGTAGATTCAACCTGATTACTGTTAGCTTTGATATTCTCCACTTGAACAAGCTGTAACTCATATTTTATATATAAAACCATTCCTCCACCCCCACCCTTTTCAGTACATATACCTATTAAACAACCTATAACCTTGTACTTGAAAGAAATTCTTGTATCAAAATTGTTTACATTTAGCCAGGTTTCAGTTATTCCCATTACATCAAATTCCTCTTTTCCGATCAGTGCTCTAAAGTCATTCATTTTATTTCTTATACTTCTAGCATTACAATTATAACAATTTAACCTACCATTAAAGCTACATTTATTCTTTGTTCCACACTATGCACCTCTCTACACATTATTGTTTCTTCATTATTCTGGACCCGTCCACTGTCTAACCATAGTTTAAATTTGGCAGAGTTGGGTTATTAATAGCCCTTGCAAACAAGCCAGCCCCTTCCATATTTAAATGTAAACCAGCAGTTTCCAAAAACACCTTTTCACACTGAACTGATCCCAGAAATTCAACCAGCTCTTGTTAAGCTAAGCCTATCATTCAGCTCCAGGGACCTACTTATAATTTCATCCCCACAATTAAGTCTTGGGAGTATCCACCGACAGATTTAAGTTATTATGGCCCTTTTCTTTAAATGCCTTGTACTTAACAGTAAGTTCCTCTGACCTACCCTTCCCTGCCTCCCAGTGATAAGTCTGAAGGCTTATAATGCTACAAATCAGGTTTCAATATCCATGGTGGGCACATTGTAGATAGCCCATGGTGCAGCTTTTCCCTTAACAACAAACAAAAAAACCTTCCCCTTTTAATATATCCTTAATCCCTATGTGTACTATAAAGATTGCTAGCACCCTTTACCATATCACCTGCTCTGTTGGTTATATCCTCCACCCCTGCTCCTGGAT